CTCTATGTGGACGACATGCTTTTAATTGGATCATCCTCTAAGTGGATAAATAACATAAAAACAAAACTAAGTGGTGAATTTGACATGAAAGACCTAGGTAAGGCTAAGAGAATCTTAGGTATTGAAATCGAAAGAGATAGGTCAAATTCTGTTTTGTTTTTGCATCAGTCTCCATACATATCCAAAGTATTGAAGAAGTTCAATATGAGTGAATGCAAACCTGTCACGTTGCCCCTTGCTAATCATTTTGTTTTATCTAAGGAACAATCTCCTAGCAATGAGCGTGAAGTTGAATACATGAGTAGAATACCTTACTCAAATGTGATTGGTTCCATATTGTATTTGATGGTTTGCACTAGACCTGATTTAGGTTTTGTTGTTAGTACTCTCAGTAGATATATGGCTAATTCGGGACCTGAACATTGGGAAACGCTAAAGTGGTTGTTAAAGTACTTGAAGGGTACTAGTAACGTAGGCTTAAAGTTTAGTGCTAATAAAGAAGGCATAAAATTAAAGGGTTTTGTAGATGCTGACTATGCGGGAGATAGGGATGGTAGGAAATCTACTTCATCTTATATGTTTACCTTATCTAATTCATGTGTAAGTTGGAAATCACAGTTACAACATATTGTTGCACTATCCACTACAAAATCAGAATATATTGCTACCACTGAAGCTATTAAAGAAGCTCTATGGCTTAGAGGTCTACTTCATGAACTGTGTGTCCTGAATGATTATGTGGTAGTGTATTCTGATAGTCAGTCATCTATACATTTATGCAAAAATCCTATTTTTCACGAGCGCACTAAACACATTGATGTTAGACTCCACTTTATTAGAGATATAGTATTTCAAGAGGTGGTAAGACTTGAGAAAGTCCATACCCACTACAACCAATCTGATATGGGGACGAAGGTACTGCCACTAGCAAAGTTTAGGAGTTGCAAGGAACTTCTAAACATTGGTACAGGTAAATGATTTCCAATTTTATTGTTTTTCTATTAGATGTGTCACTAATGGGAGACAATTTTCTTTGCAGGTCCTTTGACACCAAGGTGGAGGTTGTTAGGCAATTTTGTTGTCAAACAACCTCCCCGAGTGATGATGTAACCTCGGTTGTTTATTATCAATCGGCCTCGGCCAAATGATTGATCAGTACATCGACACAATTATCGAGACAACACAATCCACTTTAGTTTTGGACCGTTCGAAGCAACCTATTTTTATAGTGTTGCTCACGATTCTCGCACCATTCCTTGGAAGGCTATATTATTATTGTTGAAGCCCACTTAATTGAGTCAAGCCTCGTTTGTTGGTCCACCACTTAACCCTAATTGTAACTTACCTATTTGGACACTTTACTTGGCATATAATCCCTCTCTTGTCTCGGCCTCCATAGAGTGAAATTTTCTCTTCTCTTTGTGAGTCTCCCTCTCGGTCTCTCCCTTCTTCCTCACTGTGACCTTAGTGGTTAACCTATTGTGGGCACATTAATGTGTTTCTCCTTCTCCAATTGATAGCAACCGGAGTGGGGGCGGCAAGGGTGGTGTTGGAGTTGTCTCAACGGAATTGGTGTCGATGTTGTGGTAAATTGAGCCCGATTTTGCACATGGTGGCGGTGGAATTCAGCCCTACAATAGTTATGTTGACAACGTTAATGAGAGTTACTACACATATTCTCTTAATAATCGTTTCACTAAATCTCGATATGTGATGGATGTTTCCAGGCAAATTAAGGTGACATTGTGGTATAAAGAGAAGTTAAATTTGTTATGGTTTCAACCTATGCAGCAATGTGATGTGTATGCTTATTGTGGGGCATTTGGTACCTGCAATCATAATTCATCGAACTTATGTTACTGTTTGCCTGGATTTAAGCAAAGGTTAGAAAATGATTGGAGTTTGAAGGATTATTCAGGTGGCTGTGTGAGAGAGATCATTTTGAACTGTACGAATGATAGAAAAGACAAGTTTCTAGCAAATAACCTTGTTAGGTTACCTTCAAATTCACAAAGAGTGATGGCAGGGAGTGCTGGAGAGTGTGAATCTATCTGCTTGAGTAATTGCTCTTGTACAGCTTACTCTTACGAAGACAATGCATTCTTGGTTTGGAAAGGGGAACTAATGGATTTAAAACTACCCACAGAAAATAATGGTAGTAAAAGAACGATCCACATTAGACTTTCCGCCTCTGCATCTCAGTTTTCAAAAAATAAAAGAAGCAAATTAATTGTAATCGGTTCTGTTGCGGGTTCTGTTGCTGTTGTTATAGTTCTATTGGCCACTGTCGTGATATGCATATGTCACAAGCATAAATCTGGGACTACAAAAGCAGTTGAGGGATCATCGTTGGCATTAAGGTACAAGGACGTGTTGCAAATTGAAACCAAAAATTCTTCAGATAATTTAGAGGGAGACAAGCAGAGTGGTATCGGTGTTCCTTTCTTCAATTGGGAAAGTATAATAGTTGCTACCAAGAATTTCTTTGACATACATAAACTCGAACGTGGGGGCTTTGGTCCTATTTACAAGGTTTAACTATTGTTCTCTCCATAATTGTTTGTTACAACAAATTTGTTCTTCCTTACGTATTGATTCTAGCTCACAACTATTGCAGGTAATGTTTCCCGGAGGGCAAGAAATTGCAGTGAAAAGGTTGTCAACTTGTTCTTTGAAAGGCATTAACGAATTTCAAAATGAGATTGTATTGATTGCAAAGCTTCAACACCGAAACCTCGTTCGCCTTTTGGGCTACTGTATGAAGGAGAATGAAAAGATCTTACTCTATGAATACATGCCCAACAAAAGTTTGGATGCCTTTATATTTGGTTAGTTCATGAAAAATGATATGATTTATATTTGCAATTTTCATTTCAACTAATAATAAATTTTTTTTTTAAAATACTAGATAAAAAATTATGCACGTTACTGAAGTGGAAGAAGCGGTTTGACATCATCTTGGGGATAGCAAGAGGGGTTCTTTATCTTCATCAAGATTCAAGGTTGAGGATAATTCATAGAGATTTGAAAACAAGCAACATTCTGTTAGATGAAGAGATGAACCCCAAAATTTCAGACTTCGGTTTGGCAAGAATTGTTGAGAGCAAAGGTACACAGGCAAGCACCAATAAAATCTCAGAAACCTAGTAAGTGTCAATTAAAATGATATAATTGCACCTAGACTACTGAAAGCACGAAAATTGAAACATTTCATATCTTATCTGATTGTAATGATCTTGTACGTACAATCTCCAGATTTTGGCCTAGATCAGCATTTCTGTTGTTGGCTCCTCTGTGCCATGTGCAATGATATCAACAATGACAAATTTCTATTAAACTATGCATATGTATTATGTATATACACCTGATATACACATGATATTATGTCATATATATATATATACTAACTTCTAGTTACTTGATCAAGTGGTTATATGTCTCCAGAGTATGCATCGGATGGACTATTCTCTATAAAGTTAGATGTATTTAGTTTTGGAGTTGTTGTACTCGAGATAGTCATTGGAAAGAGAAACACGGGATTTTACCAATCCTCAGAAGACTTGAATCTCTTGGGTTATGTAAGTAGATAAATTTCTCCATTTATATGCAACATTTTAGCCAATTCATAGTCTAAAATATTTTGAAGCTATTCCTACAGGTATGGAGATTGTGGAGTGAAAACAAAGTATTCAATTCAGTGGACCCAATACTGCTTGAATCTTGTGAGAAATCTGAAGTTATGAAGTGCATTAATGTTGGGCTTTTGTGTGTGGAAGAGGATCCCAATGATCGCCCCACTATGTCAAATGTAGTCCTAATGCTAAGTGGCGAAACTATAATTGTTCCAGTTCCCAAGAAACCAGCCTTTGTAATGAGAAAACGTGTTTTCAGCATATCATCCTCATCCTCAAATAAATCGGATTCAATTTCCAATGAATTGACAATGTTTGATCCACAAGGAAGATGAGGAATTTGCTTATTTCCTTGCATTAGTATTGTTTGTATGTTCAACCAAAATTTTCAGCATATCATCCTCATCCTCAAATAAACAGGATTCAATTTCCAATGAATTGATAATGTCTGATCCACAAGGGAGATGAGGAATTTGCTTATTTCCTTGCACTAGTATTGTTTGTTTGTATGTTCAACCAAAATTTGCACCAATTAGTTCCTTAATATTCTCTAGAAATTGGTGTATGTAGAACTATGCTGAGTAAGATAACAATCTCTTGTACACTCACTTTTACACCTCTTTTATGTTATTTTATTTTTGGAATATTGGTAAGAGAAAATAACCATTCATATACAAAAAGTCTATTATTAATGAATAAATAAACTGTGTATATGAAAACAAACAGTTATGTAACGCCATTGCTAGAAACTATAGTTTATGTTGTTCCGTTGATTTTTAATTTTCCAACTACTGAATACTTGTACCTTCATCCACAGTGGTTACATTAGATATTGAATAGGATATTGATGGATCCATAGTCTTGTCCATGCTTCCGCGATGAAAATCCTAAAGACATTGTTTCACCAGACATTTGGTTCAAGGTTGGCTAGTTGCAACAAGATTGCACGCTTTTAAAATTTGACTCAAATTAAATTATTCTTTTTTGCTGTGAGAAAAAGAAATCGTGAAGAGGAAAACTTTATTGTACTAAGTGTGTAGTACTTGTATTCTCTTTCGGATAGGCCAGCCCAAAATTTTACAAGTTTGCTGCAAATGCTATGAGCTATTTGAGAAAGAGATTTGTTAATTTTAGATTCAGGCTTCTTGATTTTCCTCTACTACACAATTCGTATGTACTTCGTTTGTCATCACGTCACTAATTTTTTTATATATTTAAAGAATTACTATTGATAATAGTTAATATTTATTGAATTGTTGTTGCCTTATGCTTTATTTATATATAAATTTAACCAAATTGATTTTTTTTTCATACATCTTTAACAAAAATCCAAGATTTGCCTTGACTAGAGTTGTATATTTGGCAGGTGGAGGACTTTTTTGAAGTTTTTTGTTAGAAAAGTTAAAAAAACTTTCTGTCTTCTATGTACGACGTAGACATGATCATTCCTTTGCTGACTCACAAGTGGCCTACATTGCACCATCAAAAGACCTAATGCAAAGCAAGACAATTATAATTTTCATGCAAGGGTGGAGGATCTAGTGAATGAAGATTAAGAAACTTAGCCTTGTTTTTCTGTGATTTGAGACCATTGGGGGGTGGGGGGAACATGTTGGTATCTGCTCATGTTTCTTGCACGGAAGACGGAAGGCGGCTTGCCTTCCATTGCTGAAGTAATGGCACTCCATGCTGATCTGATGTTCGCCCTAAGACACGGTTTCATGGTGGCGGTAGCTTAGTAGTTTTGGGCCTTCTGGCTACATTTCATACTAAATATTGGGTTGATTGTACAACACTTTGTTGTGGCGACATTGATTAAAGGAATATTAATTTGCTCAAAATGTATTGATTCACAACATAATTTGACATTCTCCAAGCAAGTTGACTATATCACTACCTATGACCATGTATTCATAAGTCGAACTTGCATTATATCTTTCTACCCTAGAGGAACCTTCATGGTGTAATCATTTGACTAGTAGAACCGGAAAAGTACAAGTGCATGGCCTTTCTTCAATAATTAGCATGAGCTTGACAAAAAACACTTCTTGTTTCATACTCTCTCTCTCTTTCTCTCTCACACATCTTTTGCAGCTATGATCCCGAAGAATACTTGTTGGTTTATTCTCTATGTTTTGTTTTTCCTATGTTTCTCTATAAACAT